CTACTACAGCTACTACAGCTACTACACCTACTACAGATACTACAGCTACTACAGCTACTACACCTGCTACAGGTACTACACCTGCTACAGCTACTACACCTACTACAGGTACTACACGTACTACAGCTACTACACCTACTACAGGTACTACACCTACTACAGCTACTACACGTACTACAGCTACTACACGTATTACAGGTACTACAGGTACTACAGGTACTACAGGTACTACAACTACTACAGGTACTACAGGTACTCTAGCTACTACAGCTACTACAGGTACTATAAGGTACTACAGCTACTACAGCTACTACAGCTACTACAGCTACTACAGCTACTACAGGTACCACAGGTACTACAGGTACTACACCTGTTACAGGTACTACAGCTACACATACCACAGCTACTACAGCTACTACAGCTACTACAGCTACTACGGCTACTACACGTACTACAGGTACTACAGCTATTACAGGTACTACGGCTACTACAGGTACTACAGCTACTACACGTACTACAGGTACTACAGGTACTACAGCTACTACAGGTACTACAGGGCTACTACAGCTAGTACAGCTACTACAGGTACTACAGCTACTACAGGTACTACAGCTACTACAGCTACTACAGCTACTACAACTACTACTACAGCTACTACAGGTACTACAGCTATTACAGCTACTACGGCTACTAGAGGTACTACAGGGCTACTACGGCTACTACAGCTACTACAGGTACTACCCAGCTCCTGCGGGTACCATAGGTACTACTACAGTACTAACAGTATGGGCGGTGGCCCGGGACATTGTGGGCAGTCTTACACCAAGTACTACCCCATCCTTTGCTTACACTGTTTGTTGCCCTTCTTTTGGGGGAACTGGACGGTGAAGCATGAACATACTTATAACTAGGGGAGTCTGGGGGCATGCTCCCCCAGGAAAATTTGAAATTTTTAGGCCATCTAAAACAGCTAGCGCTGGAAATGCGTCTAAAACTCGCATCCTTCTACTACTTAGCCTCTCTATGGGCATGCACCCGTATTCTGGTACAACAAATTGTATTGCACGCGGTGCACGCGGCTAAAATTGGTTGTGCATGAGATTTCGTTGAGTTCTGCCATAATCTCAGGGGCGGATCCAGGATTATTTTTAAGAGGGGGTGCACTCGTCTCTTGCTCTACTTCAACACCAATAAACCACATAGTTTTTTTTTTTTTGCAGAATACCAGTTTTATTAGAAAACCTCAGGTCATCTCGGGGGGGGGGGGGTGCCCCCCCCCTACCCCCCCCCCCTAGATCCCCCCTTCATTCTCCAAAAGGGAAATTTTTTAAAAAGGTGTGGAAGTTAAGGACCATTAATTGAGAGGTTTTTTAGACGAACCAACGTTGCAGGGAAAAAGGTCAAATTTGGTAAGAAATAAAAAATTTTAAAAAAAAAC